AAACTGTTACTGAGCCTGAAGTTGTTGCTGAAGCTGCTTATGATGCTGAATTTGATGGTGTTGCTGAAGTTGGTGGTTTAGGCATTCAAATAATAAAGCTGTCGAAAGAACCTTTCACAGCCGCTTTATTTTCTCATTATACATCTTTATGTAGAGGTCAAATGTGTTTTTCACGTCCCTGTTAATTTTAGTGCTTTGTTCTGTTAATGGATTCACGTCAGAAAATAATATTATATTCATTGCTTGCTCCCTATAATATCCACCTTTTTCATATCATGTTACCACATCTAGTTTCTCGGCTTAGCTTATACACTTTCTCTTAGCCTTTGAACCAGCACTACCATCACTTGCTCTCTTGCTCATGTTGAATAGGGACGCAAAAAATTGCCATAAGAAACCTGAGAATGTTTTTCTCCTTTTCCTGTTCAGATGCATGAAAACTAAGGGCTTGCCAGCTGAGACTGCTTATACTAGTGGTGCTGGCGTCACCCTCACAAACCCGGTAGCCTCCCTGCGCAAGGCGTATTTTATTTTATTTGTATTTATTTATTTTATTTTTTTTTTTTTTTGATAAGACATATCGGGATTTAGTTATTATTCATATAAAATGGTGTAAATTGAATTGGGTCCTAAATTAACCATGGTCTTAGATATGATTCGTCGTTATTGGAAGCTTTCCTGTAATGATTGGCTGGAAACATATCACATGCTCACCAAAATCGTAATGCCTATGTAGGCGTCTGTTTTTCCTTACTTCAGATTTATTCTATTTATTCTTCTTTTCTATACTTATATACTTCATGTATATTACTGTATTTTCTGAATTTCATGTCCTTACTTTCTCTCTATTATATCCTGTTTTAGTTATATTCTAAATCTAAACCATGGATTAGTCTGGGAAACCATGTCATTCTTATTATAACACTTATTATACTTACAACGGTAGCCTGCCACCACCCAGACTTTTATTAGAATATAACATCTCTCATTGAACTGTTAGGTAGCGTGCTTGCAAGCTTCTAGGCACGTGAGTTACAAAGTTTTTTCTGAGAACCAACAGGTAAAAGAGAGAGAGCGGTGATACTCGTAGTCTACTAATTTAATATTTATTAACATAAGGAGTGAACAAGATGTTAATTAAGTACACTCAGACAAGACTGGACCACTTAGGTCTTACTTTAGACATAGCAAAAATAGATCTTCATTTCTTGGTGACAACATTACACACTCATTATAATACTTCATTGTCAATACAGATGATTAAATAACACACTCGACAAGATCCAAATTAGGATATTATTAAACACATCATGTGAGTTCGGAATGAACAACATGGCACTTTAACTAGAATTCAGTGGTATTACACCTGGCTGGTGGACTCAACACCTATAACAACGGTACCACTGGTAACACCAACATTCATGGGTTCAATACTCGACATGGGATAACTATATTTCTGCTAATTATCCCCACTCATAGATACCAATACTGCTCAATACATATAACCAAGATCAATGGACCGGACAAGACTGAGTCCACTTGTCGCCGCGACACAAACAGCCGAAGCTCGTTCGCTAGTCGTGCCCTGGGGTAGACTCGGTGCAGTATCTTCACAGTGTTCTCTGGGTAGTCCCGTCCTCGGATTCTAATCTCGCCATATTAAAGACATCCTTCAAGACCATCTTGCCCATAGGCGGCTACCAAACCTCGGTAGTGGTGCCAACACAGACAGTGCCTGAAGATGCGCTGAGGAAGTCACGAGCATTTAATGTCTAACTCAAATACTCATAACTATACGTCTGATAGCAATACAGACGACACTGACTTAACATGGCGGCGGGAAACAATCGTTCACATACCTGGAGATGCGTTGAGGAAGAGTCACGAGCGTGTGAGTCTTCCTCGTGCATTCGCTTATATGTGAGCCTCGGGCAGTTCCGGCCTACGCATACATACCAGAAAAGCTAATTTCACCAACGACAGAAATTCTATTCAACTCGGTCGCTGTACAGTACACTCGACTATGAAAATCAGTGTCACGGGTCAGGTGAATTTCTTATGTCTATTTTTATAATCTAATCAGAGATTGAGTTTGTCAGGAACAAGTGAAATGGACGTTAAATACACACTAACAACTCTACTTTCCGGAAAACCGCAAACCACAGCCAAGGAATTCTTCCTGGAGAGCCATTAGGTCTTGGAGATTTTGAGTTTGACAAAATCTTTTCAGAAGATTAATGACTTTCTTAAATAGACAACTGACACCAACTAAACTACAAACATCCGATTCTCTGATGTTTGGGCATCAAAATAATCTAACTTCTGTAGCACTTGGAACTCATGGCTATCCTCAAGGACGATGTAAGGATATGCCACTCATACTGACAGATTTGACACTCACTTGACAAGTTTTACCAATAATAAAGACAGTTGAAGCTTTCAACATCACTCACAATGTATCTTGAATGTTCCAACTATAATCAGACATATCTAAGTTGCCTCAACATATACCACCACAGTTGCAATTTCCAATTCTGTGTCGTTATACCAAGGAATAACGAAGTCTCGGGTGTACTCTAAGATTGAGGGAAAACGGAGGACTCGGACATCCTGAAGTGATGAGAAAACAGACGCCTTAGATGGGGAAAATCAAATAAAGAAAGCATAGCTACATGTTTTGTGGGCTATTGAGCGTAATATGAATCGTCTGATTTTACGTTAACCAACGTGTACGACCGTGGTCATTACACCTAGACCCGAGGGAAATATCACACTCACTACTTAGACAACCAGAATAAAATAAAGAGGTAACGAGAGGCCTGAAAATATAAGTACCTACCTGTAACGAATTAAAGGTACGGGTACCAAAAAAATTCTGAAATTTTATCAAGTAAAAGCATTTTTATTTTTATTTTATTTTTTCTTCATTCAGATCATCAATCTTAGTGCGGTGCTTCTAAAGTCTGAGCCACATTCCATGGGTTCATGTTTTTGTGGATGTGAAAAATATCATAACCTCGATTTAAAGAATATACATGTCTGATGATATCCTTTATGTGGAAAATATAGTCCCCTTCACTATTGCATTTACAGGGGCTCATCAGGTTTTGTGCAGTGTGGCAGCACTGTGTTTGTTTACATTTGACAGAAGGAAACTTACAATAGTAATCATACTATGGAATCAAATTAAAACAATATTAAAACAAATATCTCAAGCATAATGATTTGTGAAATGTTTGTGACAATCCCCTGTAAATGCACTAGTGAAGGGGATTGTACATATCCATTATTGTTAAGTAGTACCTTGGATTTGGATTTTCCTTATTTGGGATCCTTTGACAAGGAATGATATAGACAATTGTATGTGATGGAGAATGTAAGGTCAGTATGTACTCTCGCTCCAAAAAGTATCGGTGCAGGGTGAGATCGACGAGTTCCGAAACTATACGTATACAGTGACCCCTCGGTTAACGAACGCCTCGGTTAACGAACTGCCTTCCATAAGGATCTTCAATTCGGTTAACGAATTTCTTACGAACCGACCTCGACATGTTTTCGCTTGCACTGACCGGGCAACCAGCTTTAGTATCAGTCCGCCAATACATTAATCGGTTCTAGGGCTTAAATTCCTTACTATTTTAGTAAATATCAAGAAGTTTATACTATTCAATAATTTTAAAAGTTTAATATTAACTTTTTTAGTCATTTTAACAATTATTGAACATAATTGAAGGTAAAGAAACTAGTTTCTGGCGTGCCATCCAGCCTGTTAACACACCAGACAGGCGTTAGTCTCTCTCTGTTTTCAGTGGAGGTAACATCTTGCTTGAGACTCTCTTCAACTAAACGCTTTTTTTCTGTGTTTCCAAGCAAATTATTGGTCATTTTGAAATATATTTTACATATTGACAATATATAATGCAGTGCAGTGTTGATTTAAAGAAAATAATCTTGAAATACACCAAGAGAACTAAAATTTTATGGATGAAATGGTGCCATGGGGTGACTTCTCTTCCACCCCAATGCCTTTTCTTCTTCCTTCTCCTCCACCCCCATTCTAATTCCCATCATCATCATCATCATCCAGGAGCCTTCTACATACACACCTCAAAGTAAGTGAACTTTTCTACCATTTTTGTTGAATTTAGGAAATTTTCGGTTAGCTGGAACCAATTACCCAAAAACCCATTGAAACAATGGTTTTGGTTAACGAACGACCTTCTGGAACGGATTGAGTTCGTTAACCGAGGGGTCTCTGTACACTGTGATATGTCGGGAAGGTTGGTAGGTGTATCCTCATAACCCCCTCCACTAGGTGTTGCCATATGGCTGACAATCAGGGCTGCTAACATTCGGTTGGAAACAACTCACCTTTCCCAATACCTATCGTCACTGGTCTCAAATTGTTCACACTACAGTATGCACCGATACTTTTTGTTGCGAGTGTACCATAATACCATTCCTTGTTGTAATTGTTTTGTTACCTTTCCCTATGGAGTATGAGTCACACTATGGTAGGTACCACTTGGAGCTTTAGTTTTTCACTTAGACTCTTATTGTAACTGGTGTTAAATATTTAAGTTTCCTTGGAATTTACTTCAAGATATAAATGATGAGTTGATCCTGGAAATCTAATTTTATGACCAAGCCAATGATAATGAGACTTAAGAGACCTTCCCTCCTCCTAATGAGTTCCTCATGAAGTCCTGCTGAACAGAGGTTCTTTTTGAACAAAGGAAGATGGGGTTCAATAGGCTATCATATGTCAAGACTTGTTCATTTCTCAGCCTTTCATGCTGCCTGTAGTCTCTGATCTCATATTTTAAAAGCAGTGGTTGCAGTGGGAAAGACATCTGAAAGTGTTTAATTAATTTTAGCTTTCAATGTTGATGGTTCACATGAGACAAATTGACTGTCATAACCTGGTGACTTTCAGGATGAATCAGTCAATAATATTTTTTTCTTCTCATATCTCCCTTAATTTTTTGTATACCCAACAGGATCAGCAGAAAAAGATCAAAACAGAGTCTGGTGTGTGGATTGCTGCATCATACAAAACTAATAGATATCAGAAATGGATAGAAAAGGGGAAGGCAGCAGCAGAAGAGAGTAGTGATGAAGATGAGGACAGTACAGCAGGAATCACCAACAAAGGAAGGAAAGGAAGGAAGAAATTCCAAAGTGAGTTATTTCCTTTCAATTGTATATTAATTATTAAACTCTTGGCTGCAGAATTACATATCACAGTCCAATCTGCAATTGCATAAATTCTGCACATGCCAAGAATGTGCTAATTGGACCATTTTACTACGTTTTTAATGTGGCAAGTCCATAAAGTTTCCATATACAGTTAACCCTCACTTTACGCGGTTAATGTAACCCGGAGGGTCCCGCGTAAAGTGAGAAACGCGTAAAGTGAATAACATAACATATGGGATTAATTGAAATGGAGTCCGGGCCGATCCCCAAACTCCACTTTTTGACGACACACAACTATGTTGTAGTAAAAATATTATCTTAACTTTATGATGGTATGCACACACAATTAATAATTAAGAGAAATATCAATAATATTAGGTTTTTTAACACTTACATTAGTAGAAAAAATGGCTGGGCACACGGGGATGGGCGGTTGGTTCCGAGGCAGAGGGCAGATTATTGGCCCTCACCTGTGTCACTTGTATCAATTGTATCACTATCCACCACAGAGGCTTGCAGGGCCTCTTTGTCAAACTCCCCAAAGTCCATATAAGTCCATATCCTCACCATAATTATCACTATCACTGACTTGGGCCGGCTGTGGTGGGTGGCGGGTGAAGAACTGGTAATGTTTTGATGACTGGGCGACCTTGTGCGCACCATGTTCGCGCAGCTTACACAACATGGCGGATGGCGGGAGGTTTGGATCCAAAAATGGCGCGGCTCGCCAGCCGCTCTCCGCGTAAAGGGGTACACGCACCGCGGAATGTGAGCATCCTGGGTTCCGGCAGGGCATCGCGTAAACGTGGAAACACGGAATGCGGGACCGCGTAAAGTGAGGGTTAACTGTATAGGATTAAGATTCCTTAAAAACAATACTGTATTGGGTGTTTTTTTTGTGTTTTTTAGATAGGAAAATGAATTCTTCCATTAATGCTATAAAATTTTACCAAAATTGTTTCAGATGTAGCTAAAAATACATAAAAAGGATTACTTATTTCTTACAAACAAAATATCTCATCCAAATACTCCAAATGATTCTTGATTGATGACAGGAATATCATAATAATCTACCTAAATTGAAAGCACCTACACCTCAAACCGGTCTCCCCCCCTTAAGAGGAGAGTCCAGTTTTTGGTCATCAATCAAGGATCATATGTACATCAATGCTAGCCCCATAACCCTCTTCTACCCTCTCAAATTTTTCAACCCTTTGCACCCTTTCTCACCCCTTTCTAAATTTTCAAGGTATATTTTCTCCATTATTTCTTTCTATTTTACCTTGAAATTGATAGTACTAAGAGATCTAGTATTGTCGTTGAATATTACAGTGCAATATATTTGTTTTTGTCTTTGGTTTTTAGGATAAAAAATTTTCAAGTTTGGTTGAATTTTTTTTCAAAATATCGAGATTAAATATTCAACCAAAAATAAATCTTACAAGATATAAAAAAATGGATTCTGTAGTTATGTTGAGGAAAGGTTCTTCCTCTGTTGAATATTTGTTTCATTGAAATCAGTCAAAAACTGGCAGAGAGCTGTCAATTTGAGTGTTGGAAGAGTTCATTTTGAGATACAGGCCAAAAAAGTTTCTCAATCTTTCTCCCTTGTGTAAGTACTCATTCTGAGTCGATTTTACATGTAATATCTTGTTTTTTGGTGTATTTTTACACCTCCGACTAAACTCCAATTATATTCTTTACGTGAGGTAGAGGGGAGGGGTGGCAGGCTGGGGCTGGACTGCCTCAGTTGTCCCTTGAGACGGCTGTTACCGTCATTAGTTTTTGCAAATGTTTTCTTCTTTCATCCTCCTGGATTTTGCAATGTTCTTGGCACGTGCTTCCTTTAGTTGTCTTTTATGTTTTGAATCACATGCTATCCTGACATTCGAGGAGAGAAACCTGGTACAGCAGTACAAGTGAGGTAAGATGTGCAGTGCAGCAGAGTACACACCTCTCCTTGACAAGGTCCAGGACCAACTGATGACACATGTTTTTACCTCCCTATACTTGCCAGAGAGGAAGAGAGTTGCCTGAAATGAATTTCTAAAGTCTTTTTTGTGTTATTTATTCCATATTTTGGGGGGAAATATTTAACCACAATCATTCATATGTCTACACAAGGGGAAGTAGGAAGGTTTGGGGAGGGTGGGGAACCATACATAACTGCATAAATATTACGATTATTGCCATAAAACTCCTTCCACTTACGGCTATAGGCAACACCCTTGCCCGGGATTTTTTTCATATTTTATGATTTTTTTTCTCATTTCATCTATCTAAGCCGGACGCTCCCCTTAAGGTGAAACCATATGTCTCAAACCCTAGACCAGTGGTTCTCAACCTTTTTTCACTTCATTCCCCCTTGAGGAACTCTCAAAATCCTCATGGCCCCCCTTCAGTTTTTTTACCAAACCCCCCACAAATAATTATGAAAAATAAACTGTTCTGATTAGATGAAGAGAATCTCCTTTTTTATTTTTTTATTTTTTTGTTGTTGACAAACATCATTATTCTATATTTTGACAAACTAACATAATTTACACAACTAACTTGCCACTAGACTCGAGTGACTAGACTAGCCTCACAACAAACTTGAATTTGGTTGGGAAAAGTTCCTATGACCTATGCTTATTTTGTCACAGCTTAATGGGAAGAGTGACATTGTTTCCTTTCAGTCAGGTGATTGATTCGAGGTTGTCACTGACAAAGTACATCTCATGTCCAGGTTCACATTCAGTGGGTTCCAGTTTTTACTCTTTATATGTAGAAGGGTGGAGAAACCAGACTTGCATAAATAGGTAGAAGAAAATGGCAAGAGGACTCAAAGTGTGATCTCGCTAACTTTTGAATAAGACTGATACATTGAGCACCAGAATACAGTCAGCGATTTTTCTTCATAGAGGTCTTTGGCAGCAGAATTGTTCTTGAGGTCAAGGAATTTGTCTTGAACATCATTGGGAATGGTAGCAATATCAAGAGTTCCAGAGAAAGGATTCCTCACCAATTTCCCTTCTTCCTCCTCGAATTCTGGGAAGTACCTTTTGAGGTCGCTTTCCAAGGATTTCAGGTGCTATGTGATTTCAGTGTTGAGTGATGGGTCAAGTATATGATCTTCAATTTCATCAAGAAGAGTTGAAAGATTTTCAAACATGGCAGCATTTCCTGCATTGACTTTCCTTAGCTAATTCTGGAGCTTGGCAAGAAATGTACGAAGGTAATCCATGAAGGGAAACACTTTTCTTTCCTTGCCTTGTAGCTTGAGATTCAGCCTGTTTAGCTGCTCATATATATCTGCTAGGTAGGCAAGACGTGGCTCCCACAACACCTCACCTTGCACTTCCAGGAATAACTTAAGGTCTCCCCGAAGTTCAAACATTCGATTCACAACATTACCCTTGGAAAGCCAGAACACTTTGGAGTAAAAGGGGAGGGCTTTATACTCTGAATCCATGTCTCTACAAAGGTTCAGGAAAAGGCGAGAGTTCAGATATCCTGCTTTCACAAAGTTGACACATTTGACCAGTGCTCCAGGATCTTGCAAAGTGCATCAGGGAGGGTTTTCAACACCAGTGCAAAACAATGGATCATACAATGAACCCCCTTGGCATTTGGAGCCACTTCCTTGACATGCTTCTGGGACCCCAATTTCGATCCCAGCATTGCCGGAGCCCCATCCATACAAACTCCGCAACAGTTTTTCCAGGTGATCCTGCAAGCTGTGAAGAAAGACGACATCTTTTCCATCACACCTACAGCTGTTGTGGTGATCTCAAGCTGTGTAGAAAACAGATATTCATATCTGATGTAACACGAGAAAACATACCTAACAAAGACGAGCAACTGTGCACAAGAACTAACACCTATGACTCGCCCAGCTGTATCATGAACATACCAGTTGGAGACGATTTCTTCCTTAATGTCATCCGACATTTCACTAATTCGCCGTTTCACAGTTTCGTTTGACAAGGAAATCTGCTGGATCTTACATTCACTTGCCTTTCCAAGAACCCGCTTGATCATATTTAAAGTACATGGCACAATTAAAGTATCGCCGATTGTGTGGGCCTTTTTCTGCTTTGCTATTTCAAGGGAAACCTCATATAATGCCTCAACTACACTCAAGGACTATTGTTGGAAAGCACCACTCTCATCCAGTTTCTGTTTTCCCAAACTGTTCATGGCACTTGAAGAAATTACCCACATTTTCTTGAAACATTACTACTTATAAAAGCCCACCATGGCCCCCAGGTTGAGATGTTCCTGCAGCATGTCTTGACTGTGGAAAGGCCCATGAGGGTCTGAGGTTCAGAAATGTCCAGGTCCAGTCTGCTGTTCTCACTGTAGTGAGGCACACCCAGCCTCTTCTAGTGAATGTGACCATTTCCAAATCGAGAAAGAGACACTAAAGATCTACACAAGAGACAAAGTGAACTTTGGTGAAGCCAAAAACACAGCCCTGAAATATATATCAAGTCATGGGAATACCTACGCACAGGGTCTATCCCGACACAAGGCTCGGCAAACTGTTGCTGCGCCACTGCCCCGAGAATCATCAGTAAGTTTTTTAATTCAGCTCCCTCACCTGACTCTATGTCACCTATTTTCATTCCTCAGGCTTCTCTCATAGTGGCTGAGATCCATATGGATGAGGCAGACACATCTGCTACTCCTCATCTTTCCTCCACCAGCCATCCTGGTACTATAAGAATTTCAACAAAACACCACCTAGGGTCCTCAGCGTCTCTGGAGGTACACAATTCTCTGAACAAGGTATTGATGGTGAATCATCTGACTGTTACAAAGAAAGCGAGACTTCTTTGCTAACTTCAGAACCTAATTCTGAGTCCCAGACACTCCAACAGATGTCAGCTCATGATGGCGCCTCTTCCTCAGAGATGCCGACTGATCCTCTTCCGGAAGTATCTGGTGACAAGACCCCCAGCTAAAATAGAGCTGACAGCTGGGACCTTTGGCACAGG